CTTCAAACCTTACCATTCGTAAAATGAAGGATAATCCCTAAAATCAAAAGAGCAAGACCCGGAACAATCCAATGTCGAAGTCTAGTTGAATGATCCTAAAATCATAACATAAACGAGATTGCAGTGAGAACCTTGTAAAATTTGTGAAAATCACAATCTTGGACCAGCTAAGGACTAACCTTCATGTGTACCAACACATGTCCAAAATGAACTCCAATGATAGTGGAGAGAATGGCAGAAACTGAGCTGCAGTACCGAAAGGAAATGAATAGATCTGTTAAAAAACTTTCTTAGTAGCTAAATCAAAGCAGGATTGTAGTAAAAGAATTGCACTTGCACTTAATAAAGTGAAATTGAGTTAATAATCAATTAAGGTCTTGTTTGATGTTTCACTGCATCTACTGACCGTCGTTCGTGCTTCTTATTCTATCTCTCACACTCCAATCTATCGAGGGAAGAAGCAGAAAACAGCATTTGAGGTTTCTATCACTATACATAATGGCCATTACTAATTTTAAAATTGGTGTTTATGCTCTGATACACAAACCCACCTCAGAATTCCTTCGGGTTCAAAAGGTGCGTAGCACCAAGGTGGAGCATCACTTTGAAAAGGACCCTCGTGAGGGGAATTCTTAGTGCAAGCCTGCACGATTTCATATCATATAAGAAAATTTCTGAACAGAAAAGGCAACAAAAGATCAAATAAATTGATAAAAGAAAATAACAGACAGAGAGGATAAATACGCAATAAAAAAAGCAACGAAAGATCAAATAAATTGATGAAAGTAAATAATAGACAGAGAGGATAAATGCACAATAAAATTACTCACTTTGGATCGCTGCCAAGCAGGATGAGGGTACATATGATTGATTCCAAGCACTTCTCTGTCTACATAACCTACTGCATTACAAGGAGGATCTAATTTTCCTCTCACATTACAAGCTACCTGAAAATCAGGAATTAACGTTCCCCTTATATTAGATAGTGTTAAACAGTACCAACAAAGACAAATAAGCTTAAATCTTGATCACTCTATTGTAAAGTCCTATATACGTAAACATGCATTGATGTCCAACATGTCAAGTGTAATTGGAATGATAGACTTTAAATCTATAATTGAAACATAGATGTTTTAATGTACAAGTAAATTTCCTGCTTAGGTTTGAAAATAAATACCTATAACCTAATGACTTACAAGAAACCTCCAGTAGGAAATTAGGAATTCAGATTAGCTTGATAAATGAGCATGAAAGAGCTTACAGTTAATTTTTTCCCAAAATCAGCACTATCGGTAATTTGCACAGTAAACTGCCAATCAGGAACATGAGTTCCATAAAGTGTGGCCAAGTACACAATCAAAACACATGCTCCCGCGACCCTGAAAATTATAAAAATATAGTCAACTTAAAAGTATCCAAATACCATCACCAATATTAGAGAAGATCAAAAGTACACTTACCAATGCCAAAAATATAACTTGAAAATAGAAAATCGTCCAGGTGATAGCCTCTTTGCTTGGGCATTTCTTGTCAAGATTTCTATTAGAGCCACAACTAAATAAGCAAGAGCTATTCTCTGGGAACACAAAATAAGTTTCTCACAACACGTTCAATTAATAAAGATGAGCATCACAAATGTACATGGTGAGGATAAACATTACCTGGAGAATTCCACACCACCTAATCATTTTCATGTCAACGCCATATGTTAGTTTATCAGGAGCATGTGAGAAACCTCCTATATTTTATAAGATATCAAGTCAGCATTAGAGTACGGCTCGTTGTTATCTGTCTATGATACGGGAAGCCTCATTTTTACTTTTTACTTTTGTTTTTTAAGTCTGGTGAAGCATAGTCATAATCCATGTATTAAAAACAAGATATAAATGAAACAAATGTGGCTTTGTCTAATAGCTTAAACTTTTTGATCAAATGGTTCAATATAGTATACAAATTTGTGGGTTCAAGTGTCACTGCCACCCACTAGAGTTTGATGGCGAAAAATGACTTCGCCTACATGTGAGGCGATATGTTGAAAATAATATTTAAGTGACACACATGTGGCCCTTTTCTAACAGTTAAAACTTTTAGATCAAGTGATTTAATACAATGCATTTATGTGAAATGTAAATCAAGTATATTCTCCTAGAGTGTTGTCAAGATGTGATAAAAGGAATATGTGCGTGTTGAACTTATTATTTCTTATATTTGAAAGCTACAAATGGGAAACATGGTGTCCCATAGGTTATTTATATATGCAAGTTCAGATGAAAAATTAAAGATTATGAAGGATATAAAGCCATAAAACTGACCTTGTAAAAGAAGGCCCCAAAAGAGAAGTTTGAGAGTTCTTAAAATCACTTTACTGATGGCCTTTAACCTATCTGGTATTCTCTATTCACAGAACAACCAAGAATCAATGCATGAAAATAAAAAGATCAGAGTTTCAAAATCATATACCTAATGAAGGACATAAAACAAACCTTGAAAGCAAGTGCAATGGCCATCCCCACAATGAATAAAAAGAATGGCATTACAAAATCAGCAAGATTGCATCCATTCCATGGAGCATGCCCGATCATAGGCCACTCACCCCCAGCATCATCAACCAAAATCATTAACTGCCACGTTAGAAATTATAACATAAATATAAAAGAGTCAGAAACAATGGAAAGAATAAGGTAGTGAGACAAAATGAAATGAACGACCTTCCTTTTGTATGCTATTATTATAAAGATTTTACCATAGTGCTGTACTTATAATTATAGACGAAATTTCTTAAGCAGGAACAAGGTAGTGAGACAAAAACTCTTTATTTTTTCAAAATCCGAAAATGCTCTTCATAGATGAAAAGAAGATGCTTTAAAAGCAACTACGGACCAAAAACCTTGGACCTATGGATGGCTCTACCTTCTGTATCATGCAAATCCAAAGTCTATCCTTATGAATGAATACTTCTTTTGAGAAGTTCACTATGATAATTACAATGCGAAAGAATAAAATAGTGAAAGTGACACAAGGATGTGCATTCACGTTATCCAGGAAGTTCACCCTTCTTCCGTCATTCCCAGTTTTCCAGTTTGTACTGCTCGTAATAGTTAGAATGTGTAGATGATTTGTATATGTTCAAACCAAGCACATTGAACTTGACAAGATCTACATTAAGGATAACCTTGACTGTGGGAGTATAGAGGTTCAGCTGGGTAATATGCTCATGCTAGTAGACCATTCTATACATCATTATTTAAGTTGGGCGTGTATGATATCCATACACCAACTCTAGGGGTATAGTTAATATGTAAAGATGATTACTAATATAATGATTGACATTGCTGCTAGTGGACCATCTTATATATCATTATCTAAGCTGGGCATATGTGGTGATATCCATACATTAACTCAATGGGGAGATTAAAATGTATAGATGATTTGTATTCCTTATTTAGCTAGGAATTAATTTGGTTTTTTATTTTCACGTCAATTCATCCAACTCGTCAATAGAAGGGCCAACTCTCCAAATACACCCAACTTAGCTCGATACACCAGCTAATTTAGCTAAAGGTTATTGTCAAGAAAAGTGAGTAACATTTTTCGATTCTTAGAAGATGGGTTATTTTGACAAACGATTGAAGAAATTGCAATTCTTAGTCTACATCATCAAAAGAAGACCTGAAAAAAATTCCTCAGTAGTATTTTGGGCATTTTCAATTTAAACCAAGCCTAAAACTTGAAAAAGCTGAAGAATGAAAGATTACATACAGCAACTGTTAGACCTCTGAAAATATCGAGCGAAGCCACACGTTTGGTCTTCATCTGCTCTCTCTCTTCTTCTTTTTCTTCCATTTTTGGAGCTTCAACAGTCAGATTCAAGTGCTGCTGCTGGGCGTGACCTATATCTTCTTTGATATCCGCCATATTTGCTCAGTGAATTATAATTCGATGCACCCACTAAACTATCCAGAGTAGCAGGGAATTGTTCTGCATATTGATTTGATTCTCATTCAAAGGAATCTCTCTCTCTCTCTCTCTCTCTCTCTCTCTCTCTCTCTCTCACTCACTGTGAAATATGGACGGGGGGCTCCACTGACAAAGTACACGTTAAGCAAGAGCCATCAAATGTATAGTAGAGACAATTCTTCTATTTGTATTGTAATGACAAAGTTGATAATTGATTGTTTGTTTGATTCGTTGAAATTAGAACAAATAATGGCTAAAGCCAAATTTGAACAAGTTATTTAGACTTTCTTTTTTTTTTCTTTTTTCTTTTTTTAATGCACGAGATACCAAATTTCTTTATAAATAAGATTTTGCTCACGAGATACCGAATTTCTTTATAAAATAAGACCACCACGGGATAACGGTTATACTTTGGCAATGAATATACAATTCGAACATCGACCCCAAAAGAAATCCATATTAAGATTGCTAATGTCAGAAGAATTTGAATCTCGATACAGACGATGAAGACTTGATAATTAATTTTTTGACCGTTAAAGATAAAGTAGATCTTACCCGTAAGAGAAAAATTCAAAAATGATAGCTGAAATAGTGAAATGACGATTAAAAAATTGATTTTAATTGACTTTTAAAATGTACCAAACAAACTCCAACTTTTCTCATTTTATGCCCATAGTACAAAGGGCCCACTTGTTAAATTTATTTAATTATTATGATGCTTGTAGTTTGCAAGATATTTTATTTGATTTTGAATAACACTTCCATAATTGTTCAATTGTGTAACTATCATATATTTCATTTCATTGTAATTCATGGACAATAAAGTCCTGAAAAAGAAGACGAAGAGAAATACAGAGAGAACCGAATAATACATTTCTCATACTTGTTGAAAATAGATTCCGTGTCATTTAAACTGGGGCTCTAAATTAGATGGCTGTCAATTAGCATATATCTTTACAATGAAAACAATAGAAAACTCAACACAAAATTCGAACTTTGGAGTTACCTAACAAAATCACTCAAAGACATTAACCGCGTGTTTGGTAAGGATGAATAAATAGCACTACAGTATTAAAAAAGAAAAATAAGTTAGAATAATGTACAATGTACTATCTAGTTCTATTGAATGCTGCATTCGAAATATATTCCTACTTGTACAGTTTGTGAAGGATTCCCTAACCATAAAAGAAAAGATCTACCATGTTAGAGGTGCAACAGTTCCAGACTAATTACACTTCACTCAAATATAAATAAGCACCAGTCAAATGTAAAGTATCACCATTTATTACTCAAACATCCAATTATCTTATCTTACACACTCGAAGCCGCTGGTAGAATAAACAAGATCTTTTATCTTGCTCTGTAACTCGGCGCAAATATCTTGCCGATAAAAGTGGCACTCCTCACCTAAAATTGCCTCATAGTTTATAAACAATCAGCCATGTGCCCGGCCACCACCTTATCGCCAAAATCAAATTCATAAAATCAGATCAGGATAACAAATGAGCTGCCTAAATTAAAATGAAATAAGGAAACGAGCAAGTTTATTCTATGTTATGAATAATGATTCCAAACATAAATAGTTATGATTGCCTAAGGATTTCCAACATTCAAAGTGGAAGACTCCAAGTTGAAGATTATTCTATGCTACTTTTGGGGAAGACTTCTACACGAGGAGGAGCTAAAATTAACAGAAATGGCTGCACAGGACACTGCATTTTAACTAGCTGCACCTTGACTTCATGCAAGTCCAGTAATCAAATTATGCAAGCTTAAGAATAACAAGCATCACAAGTCAAATTGCTATGATCACCATTTTGTCATATCTTGGGCATATGTTTTCCATGTGTTGATTATAGCACAGAGGCATATCCAAATTTTGCAAGCAAGAAGCAGAAATGTTTCTTTTCTTTTCTTTATATTTTTCCCAGGGTTACTTCCTGGATTCCATGTACTTGTAGAAATGATAAAGGGCAATGCTAAATCTCTGTTCTTGCGAAAACATGAAAAAAGTGAAAATATGCTTTCGGCAAGAGCTATTCAATATAGTGCTGAAGTGTAACAGGTTGTAGAAATAAGTTAATACTACATAATTACAGAAGTTGATTGTTGCACTTCAGCTGTCACAATATACTTTCCTCGTGGTTATTCTAGTCCCGTATGAACAAGACAGGTTTTGTTCTAGGATGATCCTGAAAAACAATGGAAAGACAGCTGGTTCTTTTCTCTTCGATATATTACTTCCCTTCATACATATCTAGTTTTCACCTAAAAGTGCCGACTGGTGTTAAATCTGTTGTTACCCCCATCAACTATCACTCAATCTTCAAGCCCATTGGATTACCTCACAACAGGATTACCAAATGATTAATGGAAATTTATACCTCTGTTATCAGAATATTTGCTACCAGACATTCCCTTTTCTTGCCCTCCACCTTTAGCACCATCATCCACAGCACGACCAATTCCTCTTGATTGCTTCCTGCAGCACTGTCATCTCTACCTCTTCCTTTTCCACATCCAACTCCAAGTGGTTTTCTATACGAAAATTAAATCAACATGCAAAAGTATTAGAAAATTATCTAGCTTCTAGATAAATAGAAAACTAGCAATGCGGTGCCATAAAAATAATTCCCATATCCATAATTTAATCTTCGTTTCTTGACATTTTCCTAAAAAGAGGAAAACTTCAATGTCGACAACCCATTAATTAAACACCACATGGGAATTCTCATTCTTCATTCTGCACCAATCATTGTCCCCACGAATTGAAAATTAGCTTTGGTACATTGTCCAGCATCTAACAAGTTAAATCATGAATCACGTTGACAAACTCTAGACACAAACCACAAACATGTAATCTAACAGCACTTAGCTCACACACTAATAGTACTAGAAAAACGGGTGCACAAAAACTTGTGATGTTCTAGCAGATAATCATAATACAACAAAAGTTTCGACGACATAAATATGAATACATAAACAAAGGCGAATGAGGTAGTAAATACTTGTGCATATTCAGCTTTCTGGAAAAACAATAAAATGTATTTCTTATCATACGCAAATAGTGCTCCAATTAGCTCATTGAAGCTAGACACTTCCTAGAAGCTGCATAGCAAATGTTAAAATGAAAACCAAAAAGAAAAATGCTCAAACAAAATGCCCTGGTCAGCTAGGAACCAATCTCTGTTTTTATCGTCAGATAGATGCGCTTCTACCAAAGGGTCCCATTCAAGGCTCGAGGCAGTACGCGTAAGCAGAGATAACAAAACAGCCTCCAAATGACAATGTGAGAAAAACCTTGAAGGAAACACCTCAAGGAGCACATCAATGTCTGATTTGGCTAAGTTACATCATCCCAGAGTGAGCAAGCAAGCAAATGAAGGATAAAAACAGTGAGAGCTATAGAAAATCACAAGTTAGATCTCAAACCCAATTGAATTAAGTATTAGAAGATGAATTTTCTTTCTTTTAATGAAACGAGCTTTAAAATATTGTGACATTGTAGCTTAAACAGCAAGGGGAACATTTGCACATTAACTCTAAGCAGTAAATGTCTGAATTTTCAATTTTTCAGTCATCTCAACTTGGTTCCATTTGAACAAAAGAGAGAAAAGTTAATGAATAGAACCAGTAAATTTAATCATTTCTCAATAACAATGATATTATTTTTCTATTAAGGCCTTTACAGTCAGAGCAAGTAGATCGTCACCACCACCACCACCGCCGCCACCCAACAACCCCTCACGCAAAACAAAAGAAAGAATACAGCACATACCCAGAAATGCAGCATACCTCATCTGGAACTCGCAGATACTGAATTGTATTTCCTCAAATGTAACATTCCGGCATTTTACAAAATCTAAAATTTATCCCCATCCTACAACCATCGTATACAAAGTATATCTGATAAAATACCATTAAAAAAAAAAAGAAAAAGAAAAAGAAAGCAATCATAATAACTTTATATACATAAATTACCTTCAATATAAAGATAACTTCACAAAGGTTGAAATTCAAACAAGTATCACAATTCACCAAATGTCAGTTTCCCCATCTTCAAGCTCTACCAACTTCAGCCACATAATGAACGTAGGGAAGTATAAAATCTCGTATATATAAAACAAATGCATATGAAATTTCAACCTACCTTTGGTTTCTCTGGCGATTACGATTTAAGGGGAAATAAGAAAATTTATCCACAGTTAGGCAAGGAAAAGGCCCAAAATGGGAAAACTATCCTTGAAAAATGATTTGTGATTAGTTTCTAGGGATTGTTAGGTAATTTTCATCTATAGTAATTATATTTTCAGTCACAATGAAGTATTTGTGCTTCAATTTTAAATAATTAGGTAATTAACATTTAATTTGATATAAATGGGCACTCCAATTTATTCTTATTTAAATCATGTAACTAAAATTTGATTTGATTCCAAGTGAGAGCTTCTTCCAACTTTATCTACATAACTAGTCTCCGCCTCGCGCGATGCACGAGTTTTGTATAGATTTTGTTATTATTAGCGTGGAATATGTCGAGTATTTAAAAAAAAAAAAAAGTGTTTTAAGTTGTTGAAAATGAGAAATTGAAGAGAAAGTAATTTCATTGAAAGCTATAAAATAACCATAAGGTAGACCAAAAATATATACAATATTATGCAAAATGAACTTGGCCTATTTTTTAAAGATAATACTGCTGAATTTTGTTATTCCATTTTTTACTCTATTTTTTCTTTCATTTTGTCCAATATAAATGGATTTGAGCCGGCACTTTCTAACTCTGACTGGTGAGTAGCTTATTTGAAAAGAGCTTTTTTGGCTGGAGGGGAGCAATTGTCATCTGCATCTGCATCTATGTTAAAATTGTCCAAATTCTTTTTCAGAATTAATATTCTTTTGGCAATCTTATTCTTCATCTACAATTAAACATTCGACAGAGATGATGTTAAATTTGTAATTGAATGAATTAGGTTCTACTTGAGTCGCTTTGAGATAGAATGCTCTTTCAGTATTTTGCATTTTTCCAATTATATCTCCAAAATCTGCTTGTGAACCCTGTGTACAAAAAAATTTGAATGTTATGAAGAAATCTATCAAATATATCAAAAGAGATTGGAGAAGACTGTAAATTATTACAAAATTTGTTTCTTCCATCAAAGTTTGTGCATTTGTGAACATAAGTTTTTCTGCAGTTTCACCAATTGCATTTGCATTTATGCATCCGATAATTGGACATATGCTCTTGCTCTGAGAGAAAGAGAGTAATTATTTATTTATGTAATAAGAAACTATATGATATATATATATATATATATATATATTTAGAAAGGTGTGAAAAAATATATTTTACCGAGGAATAGTTTTGGAATTGGAACTTTTACAAAAAATACAAACATATATTTCACCAAAATCAGCGCTTGATCGCCAATAACAATTGCTGCAAGCCATATACCAACATTTATTATCCATTTTTTCCATTTTTGCAGTGGCATTCACTCAATAAAATTTTCTCTGAAAAAGGAAATTGTAATTTATAAAGAAATATAAATAGAAATCATAATATATTGTGTACAGAGATATATAAATACCGGTAAAAGTCGACCATGTAGATTTTGAATTAAAGTGAATTTGTTGCGCATTGGAGGAGATAATTTTGTGGGAGATTTTTGAGTGTATAGCTTTTTCAAAATGAACTCATCGATTTTGTCCAAATTTGTATCTTTCCTGAAAGAAATAAAAGAGTAGATGAACCAAATAAAACCAAAATAAATGTAAGCTGAAGGATATACATACATACCATTCAACCAATTCTTCTACTGCAATGAAAGGAGTATTCATGAAAAATGTACTATGAACTTTTGTGGAGAGTTTTAAACCTACACAATTCATTGATGCAAGATAAGAAATGCAATTTTAAGCAGAGTTTAAATAAGAATAAAATAATAGAAATTTACCGAAAAAAGAGGTTACTTTTAAGTTTGTTGCAAAGATTACTGATTTTTAGTCAATATTTTCTGAAAATAATTTGCATTCTCTGTCAACAAAAGAATCTCACATTGTCAACACCATTGTTCTGAATTTTTGGTCCACAAGTATTATATCTTGTACCCAAGTTTGGTTGCCATCTTTTAATTGAATTAATCGTTTAGGTATTATATCAATCATAATAGCCAAAATGTCTGCAAAATGAAAAATAAATAAATTATTTTTGTGTTGACTGTTATTATAATTATTTGATTAAATTATATATATTAGTATTATTTATTTTGAAAATAAAGATGGAATTTCTTACTTATATCAGTGTTTGTATCCATGAATTGCTCAACTTCATCGAAAAAAGTTAGGTGATAGGTGGAAAAAACAAGTTCTAGGTTATTGTCATTCAACTCTTCAACGCGAGTTTGTCCAGAAATCGTCCATTGTAGAGCTCATGTTGAATATTTGTAGTTTCCAGTGTTGTTTTTAATATAAACTTTAGAAATTGCATACGTCTTTCCAATGAGAAGTTGATTTTCGAAGGCAGTGATATTTGAATCATATAGACTTGTTTGGATGGTGTTACACTAATAGATAAAAAGATAAAAATTGATTAGTGTAAGATTGTGTGCGTGTGTGTGTGTGTATATAATATTTAATTTTAATAATAATAAAAGAGAGAACATATTTGTTTTGAAAAAGGAAAAATAATACTAAATCGTTGTATAACTTACGTCAGTATCCATTAGCATCATGTGTTGGTGTCTTCCATTTCCTTGTCTTGAAGGTTTCGGTGATTGTTTCTCTATAATAATTACTTTGGCTTTCCATTTTTGATTGTTGGATAAAATTTCTGGTATAAATTGGTATTTTTCTTCCATTGTTGGTGACAATGTTTTTATAAACAGGATGAAAACAAAGAGGAACTTTTGGGAGAATTTTTTTTTTATGAGATGAGATAACCAATCCAAATAGAAGAAGATATATATAGACATCTAAAGTTATATCATTTATATTTTTTATATGGACATTTACAATAAAATCTAATCCATACCCATACTTGGTATGGGGATGACTTGTAAATTGGAGGATTTCTTTTGATGATGAGATAACCAATCGAAAATAGAAGAAGATATTTATATTTTTTATATTATTATATCTACTAGTAGTAATATATTGTAAAATCTAATCTATAGCCATACCTGATATGGAGATTACTTGTAAACTGGTATAGGGATTAATTGTAAAGTTGTAGTACTCATGAGATGAACTCAATTAATTATTAGAAATAAGATATTTAAAATAATATGAACTCTTTTTTTTTTACCATATAAAACTAAAATAAAGCTATCTTATAATGTGTAAAATTTCACCGTGTTAGAGTAACTCAATAGCTTGTGTAAATAGGTTTTATATGCTGCATACTTTATACTGAGTAAACTGTGTAAATAGATACTGAGTGGTATGATGAGAAAGAGTTTTGAGAAAAGATATTGATGATATATTTTGTGACAAATTTGATAAAATTAGTTTTTGGTTTATTTTAATGTGAATGAGTATGTTGAAAAAAAAAAAGTTAAAAGAGAATTTATTTCCTACAATTATTATGCCAACTAACTCACATAACAACAAAATAACATTCCTACAATTATTATCTTCATTTATTGTTTCAACCACTAAAAGTTAAAAGTTTAAAGTCACGGAAATTCATATTCACATGTGAAGAATCTTATACCATTTATCTTATCAATCATACTAACTCTTTGTGGTGAATATTCCTGAATGAAAATTTCAAATATATGACTGTAGCAACAATATTTTTATACCAGATCAAGTCATGGTACATGTAAAAGCAACACATAGTATAATCCAAGTATTCATTATGAATTCTAAGCTTTCTACCCGAAAGGATGTAAGGAAACATAGAAGTAAAACAATGGAAATGGAGATGATACCTTATCTACCATGTGTAGGTAATGGGTGAGCATTTAAATAACTTTTTATTTGCTATAATATTTAATTTTTTCTTTTTATGGATATAATCTAATGCAAAACTGTTTCTTCTATAGGCTAAACTGTGGAATATTCATGCTAAAATATATAGAATGTTTTCTCCTAGGGCAGCCAATAGAATTAGTTTCACCTGATAGGATGTCAATTTACAGACGGAAGATGTTAGTGGATATTTGTAACAATGAATATTTTCTTCATTCTTCTTCTTAGTTATTCTTCATTCCTCTACTTAGTTATATGGTCATGTAATGACAGTAAATATTATGTAATAAGTTTATGTTGTGTTTTTTTGTTTATTATTTTTTTTTTGTTATATTGTTGGTGTATATATAGAAAAAAATAACTGTGGTGAAATCATGATAAACCTGAACAATTGACAATGTGTTTAGTTCGAATTAACATTATAATATTACAATTTTATATGGTTTCTATGCTCATAAATTAATTGTTAAATATTCATATTTTTAGCTCTAAATAAAAAAGATGATGAAAAAAATTAAGCATCTTATCAAACAAAATATAACTATAATTTAAAAAAAATGAAAATAACCAACCTTGTGTATTGTTGTATAAATCTTCACTTTGACAGCAACAAGATGATAGATTAATTATGGACAATTCAGAATTCTAGACTTGTCAAATAGAACGTATTAAATTCAAAATTTTCAGATACACCACATTTTTTGTGCAACAAATATGTGGTTTTTTTTGGTCTGATGACTTAATCAAAACTTTTATATTTTGTCTTGTCTTTGCTCTAGATAACGCAGCATATAGCTGATCGAGTGAAAACACAAGTTCAGGCAGATAGAGACCCACAAAATCTAATATTTGACCTTGGGATTTGTTAATAGTCATAACAAAAACAAGGACGAACTAGAAATTGAGTTGTTCTAACGGGTATTGAATATTTATCTCCCTCAAGTGGAATAAACGAAATTCTAGATAAAAATACTTATTTTCCACTATATTCACCGCATCCAATTTCAACTAAAATAACATTTTGTTTAAATTCACGACAAATAAGTCTAGTTCTATTGCATAAGTCTTCCGAAGGATTAATATTTCTTAACAACATAACAGGACATTTTTTTTAGAACAAGTTCATGTAGAGGTATACCATTTGGAATTAAACTATTCAAAAAATCTTCATGAATAAATCTTTCTGTTTCATTAATCACTTCATCAAAATTGAAATATGTAAATGTATCTCCTGAAATTTGTTTAACTAACATATTGTTTATCATATCTACATATTCATTTTTTG